GTTTATGTTTTATGGCATGGATTGTTTGCATAATGTGATACTAACTCAAGTCTGAGTTTGTTTGCACTTGTGTCTGTGAATATGCTTGTATTTTATTCGGAAGAAAAAATAGCATGAGGGGGGGGAGCTGTGTCCCTCAATGGGCTTAGAGAAAAGGATTTGTTGGTGAGTAAAAAAATCGTATTTTGTCTATCGTCCTTTGACGGACACAGCTTGAAAACACACATGCAAACCAGTCAACCTTGTAAAACGTAGACAACATGAACAGAAGATACAGGTCGCAGCCCTACAGATCTGTGTCACAGAGACTGGTGATGAAAAGCCCAAGAGGTACTCACTGCTCTAGTGGAGTGCACGGGAAAAAGGAGGCGCTTTATTATTATTATTATACAGGATTCATATAGCGCCAACAGTTTGCGCAGCGCTTTACAATATAAGGAAGACATTACAATTACAATACAATTCAGGACAAGATGGCGTATCGTCACTGAGCACTCCAGGACGATACGCGGCCCAAATCCTGCAGCAGCACAATACTTACACAATACCGGGCCACTTATTAGTTATTGGAGGCACTTAAGGGTTGGTTAGGTATGTTAGTTCCTCAGGCCTCAGTCATACGACAGCACGAAGCACGTACATTATACGGAAATAATAGTAATCGCTAGAACACTTGTCAGGTATGGTGACAATCAAGGATTATGTGGGATGTTAGAGGTAGGGCATATGGTCATACATGCGAATTGGGCATATATATAACGCACGTACACCCAGCTTTCATGGTTGGTAAAAGACAAAAAAACAACGCCAGCAGGGGATGCATGGACATGGTTAGGAATTGGGGGGTTATGTCAGGTAATTATCATACGGTGACCAAAGGAGGTGACGACGAATTCGGAGGTATGTATAGGTATGGCAGGGTTGGTAACTTATGGGTATTTCCGCAGGCACGTTTCCTGAATTCCGGGTTTTGGGGCAGTGACACTCAGCGGTGAAGGTCAGGCTAGTATACCAGCCAGTTAGGTTGGGAGCATTCTCGGCACAATGCGGTGTCAGGGACCTTACTCTACTTTATCTCATGTTTTACAGTGAGGATTATCAGCATGTCCCATGTGTCCGAGAGTGTGGATTTGGCGTATCTAGCAGCAACTCCTGCCAGAGGTTCTGAGCATGGAAGTACAAGGAGCAGGGAACAGGAAAGTGCCCCTTCCATCAGGGCATGGACTATCCCTAGGCTCATATTGGAGTTACAGAAGAGAGGGATCCCCTTTCCTGCTACCGCACGGAAAGCGGAGTTCTTTAAATTATTATTTCCTCTGGTAGCAGCTAGTGAGAGAGCGGAACAAGTTTCCCTGCGTACAGTGGTCACGTCACTGACGCAGATCCACGCATCATTGAACACCATGAATACGTCTCTGCAGGACTTACTACAGAGAACAGAGACTTTAGAGAGGCAAGCGGTGGTTGTCCCAGCCGCGGCGGTGCAAGACGTTCCTAGCACCTCAAGTATTCCTATAATGCCTAGTGCTCCGGTGGCCATTAGCGCAGGTATTAGTACATCTCCCCCCAATATCACGGCAGCACATTTTGTTCCTAGTAGTCTGAAGAAATACATTTTGGAGACGTGAACCTGGCGTCTTTGTTGATAGCGGCACATGATGTCTCTGAAAACAAATCATACGTGTGCGTGGAGGTGTCGGTAATTTTAAAAACTAGGGATCCAAGGTTGAATAGGAAGTTGTCCCTACCCGAGTTCATGCTGGCATTTGGAACATATAGAGATGTCATATGTACAGTAAGTCCCAACCGTAGGGAGGAGCTAGATGCATATATACATCTTGTTGTCGATCTGGGGTACAAATACGGTGGGCATGCGTTTTATGACTATCACCGCGCATTCTCGGCAAAGGCAGCAGCTGGTCTCGCCCAGTTTCAGTTCACGACTAATTGGGGAAAGATAGATACAGAGTTGTTCTGCAGACACTTTGCAGGACTCAAATCATCAGTCTGCACGATTTGCCATTCATCTGCTCATACTGTCGACTGGTGCCCCACGCCGGCACCAGCAGACGTCGCCACCACAGGTAAACAACCGGGGTCATTACCTGATCCTCCCGGCACAACGCCCACGCAATTTGACAAGCTGGGTAGACCCATTCAGAGTTTAGGAAAGCCCCAGATTTGCAATAATTTCAATTTCAAATCCTGTAATTACCCGCATTGTCGTTTGTTGCACATATGTTCTACATGTTTTAGAGCCCATCCCAAAACTGCTTGCACGGTCAGGAAACCATACAATTTTTGACTAAGCCAGGTGAACGTGGAAGGGTTAGTTGCTATGCTGAGGGCCCATCCTGATCCCTTGGTAGTTGCTTTCTTGAGCGAAGGCTTCACCAAAGGTTTCCATACAGGGTTCATTACTTTGCCCCAAGCGACTTATGAATGCGGCAACTTGAGATCTGCGCTGGCCGATCCTTCCACTGTTGATTCCTTACTAGAAACTGAACTGGCCAAAGGGTTCATAATAGGCCCATTCGAAGTACCCCCCTTTGGCATGTGGAGAGTCAGCCCCATTTGTCTGGTGTGTGGGAAATTCTCAAATAAACAACGTCTAATCTACGACTTGTCTGGCCCTCATTCCATACACGTGCCTAGTTTAAATTCATTAATACCATCAGAGGAGTTTGGCCTCAAGTATGCTTCCGTCGACCAGGCAATACAATACATATTGATGGCTGGTAAAGGGTCGTGGTTATCTCCAAGGCGGATATTTCCGATGCCTTTAAACTGTTGCCCATCCAAAAGTCTTTATGGCAGTGGCACGGAGTAAAATGGAGGGGGTTATACTATTTTGCCACCAAGTTAACATTCGGTTCAAGAAGTAGCCCTTGGCTATTTGATACCTTTGCGCAAGCACTTCACTGGGTTTTGGAAGAACACGTTCATTGTCAGAGAGTCCTTCATTATCTTGATGACTTCCTGCTTATAGAGTCACCTGACAGTACTCCAAGGGACCTCCGCGTGTTGCTTGATGTCTTCAGTTCTCTGGGAGTCCCAGTAGCTGCACACAAGGTCGATGGTCCACAACATGTCTTGACCTTCCTTGGTATCACATTGGATACGACTAACATGCAGGCTAGTTTGCCGTTAGACAAGCTAGTCAGGATCAGGAGTGCGTTGCATTCACTAGTGTTGTCTCCAGTATGTTGCAGGAAAACGTTGCAGTCCCTGTTGGGGATGTTGAATTTTGCGATGCGCATCATCCCGCAGGGTAGAGCTTTTATATCTAGACTGCTGGCATTGTTGCCCACAGCTCCTGAGCAAGACTCATTGGTACGCATCGATGCCGCCGGGCGTGCGGATGTGGCAATGTGGGACGAGTTTCTACAAGAGTGGAACGGAATTTCAATGTTCATTCCGCAAGCTACTTGTTCATCGCCGCAGGTAGTCACCGACGCTGCAGCGTCATCTGGGTTTGGTGCTATTTTTGGCCCCCAATGGTTTGCTAGCCCTTGGCCAACGGAGATTGAAGGGATAGTGGGTTTTTCTCGAACTTCATCACTATTCGAGATCTACCCTGTAGTAGCAGCGGCTAGAGCCTGGGGTTCCTCATGGTCAAGGCATACGGTAATTTTTCATACTGACAATCAAGCAAAGGCAGGTCAAAGTCGTTGGTGATCATGTCGTTCCTACGCAGGCTAACATGGCTCTCACTACAATACAGATTCAGTATAATTTGTCAATACATTCCTGGTACATGTAATATAGCAGCTGACGCTCTGTCCAGATTTAAATTCCCTCTTTTCTTCCAACAGCACCCGGGGGCGGACGCTGTTCCAACGCCGGTTCCCGCATTTCAACAGTTAGTGCTGGACTAGAGAGGCACCAGGGTAACGCGGCCAGGCTAATCAATACTTCTCTTTCACGCAATACACGTAAGGCATACGAAGGGGCGTGGAAAACTTTTAAGGTTTTCCAAGATAAACATGCTATTCATGATCCAGGTAGCGTTAGTTACATCCTAGCGTTCATTTCATACTGCCACACGGATCGCAAATTAGCGTATAATACTATCAGGTTATACCTGGCGGGAGTGCAACACTTCCTTGCATTAAGCTACCCGGATAGGCAGTCGGTATTTACCGCTCATCCCGTACGAGCCATTCTTAAGGGCATACAGAAATCCGGTAGCCAGACACTCAGTACCCGGTTACCTCAGGACGGTTGTTTAGGGGTATGTCCTCCATGTTGGACAAATCACCATTCGGGGTATTGCAAAGTTTAGTGATAAAAGCTGCAATCTATTTGGCTTTCTACGGGTTTTTAAGGCCAAGTGAGTTTACCTTTACCAGTTCCAAAGCCTACCCGGTGCTCAAACAGAACTTGGTCAGGTTTCCTAAATATTTTCTGTTGACCCTTGAGCGCTGCAAGACAAATCAGGTAGGAGCCCCTACGGAGATAAAACTGTTCCCATCAGGTAATGCTTGGTGCCCAGTCTCTGTGTTAGATTGCCTTATGGACAGACTGTGTTTGTTTCCACCGCACGGGCCGTTGCTGCCCTTTCCTAGTACCCCTCTCTCATCTCAGCAATTCATTTTGCATGTCCGCCTACTCCTAAGGCAACTGGGGGTTAATCCTAAATGTTATTCCGGGCATTCTTTTCGCATAAGGGCAGCCTCGGCAGCTTCCCGACACGGAGTACCTGCTCATGTAATTAAGAGGTTAGGCCGATGGAATTCGGCATGCTTTAACAGATATATTCCAGACCCACATGTAGAGATGGCTAAGGCATTTTCTAACTTGGCGATGTAATGCAGGTTATGAATAAAGTATTTCCTAAAGATTGACGTTTTTGCCCCCTTATTTGGTATACTGTCCAACCAGATCATGGCACACCTCAGGTCAGTATGTTGTGAGTATATCTTTCATTTCCAGGGACAAATGGTGGAACATCTAGGAGTCAGATGCGGGCACCGGGGGTACCAACTCGTGAAAAGCTTTTTCCCAGACGCAGGTAAGCAGACTCTGATCACAAGTTTTAAGGCTAACCCGTTAGGCCTGGATTTGTGGGAGGAGTCTGCGCTCCCTCAGCCTTCTTAAACCGGGTGCCCAGGCTCCTCTGCACACGAACGATCTACGGCGTAACCCACCCACCCTTGGCACCGGGGGTACCAACTCGTGAAAAGCTTTTTCCCAGACGCATGTAAGCAGACTCTTATCACAAACCTTTCTTACACTGTTGCTCTGCTGAACAATACTAAAGCTGAAGTCTAGGAAAAGTTTGGAAAACAAGGATGGTGGCTATCATGTACCTGGTGAGAGACCGACAGCTGAGGAGGCTTCTATTACTTCTGGAGGTGGGAACAGGGTGCTAGAGGACAGCGAGGAGCTCAAGCGCCACAGGTGGAATCAGGCACTGGTGCAAGGAAAGTCCAGGAGCGAATAAGCCAAATCAGGAAGCAGGAGCGTAGTCAAGGGTAGCCAAGGATCAGAACCAGCCGGGCAGGGAGGTACAGAATTGCGAGACAATAAGCATGTCCAGAAAACAGGCTGAGGTCAGGGGCAGGCAGCAATCAAGAAGAGTCCAAACAATCCGAGTCAAGAGGGTACAGACAGAAGTCTTCAACAAGTCAACAGGCACAGGAAAACACGCAGCTGAAAGAACATTGGCATAGTGAGAAGGGCAGGCTCGTTTAAATAGGCCAATTCATTAATGCTTCTAGCATCACTTCCTGTGCGCCTGCCGATTGTGCGTCTTTGCATGTTTTTCCGGTTGCACGCGCATGCGCGACACAGCATATTTCCAGCCTGTACCATAGAGGCATTTGCGCGTATGTGCAGCTGTCATTTTCACCTTATAGTGGTAAGCAAAGTTTGAAAGATAGATGGATCGATAAAGTACTTATAACTTCTTGTCAGTAATGTGCTTAAATAATACGGCATCTTCAATAGGATTGGTCAGAGTCTTGTTAAGGTGAAACATTAGAGTCAGGTGGCGTAGACCATCTCTTGACAAAATCCTTCAGAAAGGGATAGAGTGTCTGGAATCATATAGGGACAAGTAATTGCTTGTCTGGGGCTTTCCAATTCTTGTAACTATCGATTAGGTGATGAAGAGGAAACTCTTTGCGGCACATTTCATTTTATAACCGAGGACAGACAACTCGGCAGGTAAAGTCACAGTGGAATCTCCTGAATTTAGAATGGGGCACACAGGCTTGATTAAAAAAGAAACAGTTCCCTTCTGTTGCAGTGATACATACATTGACTGAAAGTCAGCTAGTGGGGTCCCATCCTTCCGTTCTTCAGACTTAGATTTGTAATTGGCTCAAAATATACAATTCTTTGCTGCACCAACCTCTGCCTTGAACGTATTGCAGGAGCAGAGGCTTCATCTGTACCTGCAGGATGGTCGCCCTTTTCTTTGTTGACAGACATGTCAATCCCCTACCCAGTCCCCTAGGAATACTCACAGACACTGTGCCACTTGTCAATGCAGGCGACAGCAGAATAAAGTAAAGTGAAGACTGGGGAAAGGTGCAGGTATTGAAGAAATGTACTGAATATGTTTGTTTTTTTACTGCGCCTGTATACTTTAAGAATAAGAAAACATAACTGTTAGATATCTTGTGCATTTAGCCTAATTTATATATCACAGTCGGCGATGATAGTCCCTCCAACTGATACAGATTTGGGAGCTATGTTATTACCATGGTCTGGAATCTGAAGGCAGTTTTTCTTATTATCTTGTTTATAATTTATATCTAGTGTACCTGAGTATCTAAAGATATTATTTAAGTATGAACACAATAAAGGTAAGGCAGCAGCAATGGAATATATCACTGTAGACTAACAATTAGCTGCTGGGGAGAGAAGGAACATTGGTAATTAGAAGAACATTCCTCAGGCCATATTTTGCATTAATATTTTATATTTGTTTTGAAGGCACAATGATCAGCTGAAGGTAATGTTTGTCGGAGGCCCGAACCAAAGGAAAGATTATCACATTGAGGAGGGAGAGGAGGTAATATTGTCTCTTTACTCTTATAATGCAGTATCCTCTTATCATTTATTGCTTTAAATGTAATCATTTGTTTTAAAGGGAAACTATAATGGCCTTTGATTAGTTATATTTGAACAGTTTTGTTAACGTGTATATGATTAAAGACTTTTGTTTTCAATGTTTTCTTTTCTTTTGACAAATAAACATTTGATACATGAAAAGGATTCGCAGAGCACTATGGGTTAGCTAATGAGACAGCATGGAATGTGAAGCTTGTTTTAAAGCTCCATGTGTCTAGCTGAATTCTTAGACTAAACCATCTGATAAGGGATGTACTTTTGCATTGTCACCCCATTGCATAGGCTTGCAATAGAGATTACAAGTGGTTGTTTTAGGGCCCATTTACACCAATTGCGGTCCATTCCAGAGTGGCAGCTTGAAGGGAGAAGTTTAGTGAGTGGTTGCTGTGCGTTCCAGCAGCTGCCGCTCTGGAACGCATCGCAATTGGTGTGAATGGGCCCTTAACAATCATTACGCAGGCATGGTCCACTGTTCACTCACCATCAGGAAGTTGCCCTGAGGAATGCCATGCAGCCATCACTGGAGTGCAAGTAGATAGGAAGTGGCAGCAAAGATAATACAGAAAATCAGCAGTACCGAGATGCAACAAAAAATGAAAAAAGTAAAAAACTATTTTTTTTTTAAAACAACAACAAAAACCACGGCAAAAGTGAAATCAGGTTTGCTTCATCAAGAGTGAAATTGACCCTTTTTTTTGAGCCTGTCCTTCTACTACATCATGCATTACTATGACATAAAAATAAAAACTTCCCTGCGTGTAGCTGTCAATTAAAAAGTCCTGGGAGACGCTATACGTGTTCTTGTTTTATTGTCTTTTTAATTGGGTGCAAACCAATTGCATAAATTAAACATCTTATAAGAAACAGCAATCTCTAGGGAAAGAAATAAGAAGGAAAGGGAAGAAAAACACAAAAAGAGAAAGAAAAGAGAACACAACTGCCACTGTCCGTTCTTTGCTGCTTCTATTTTCTATTCATAATGGAAGATGGGAGTATGACGTCTATATCAGACTTGACGTCCAGATAGACCATGGGTTTCTACATTTGTTGTCTTGATTATTTTGTCAATTTTGTCTCCTGTGAATCACTAAAGAACATTATGTATGTTGTTTCCCATGGCTATGGTATTGACTTCTTCATGATAGAAGTATGGGGGCTGAGCCTGCTGGCCCTCTCTTAAATAATGCTAGGTGTGTCTGGCTTCAGTACTACTGAGTCACAGACCCGGAACAAGCATGCTGTATATAGGTGTCAGAAAACCTTTTTTTTTTTGTTCCAGGTCAGCGACTAAGAAAGCATTAAAGAAGAACTCCAGGATTTACTAAAATTAACCCTTGCAGTGGGGCTACCCCCGCACTGCAAGGGTTAACTGCTCGTTTTGCTCTTGGGGCTGGAATGCACAAGATACCCTCACCTGATCCTCGGTCCTGCGGCATTCAACGCTCACCTCTCTCCCCCTCCGCTCTGGCGTGATGATGTCACGGGTCCTTAGATCACCAGAGCCGGGGGGGGGGGGGGGGAAGAGGCTGTGGGAGCTGGTCTAGCAGCCAAGCAGAACAGAGGATCAGATGAGTATATCTTTACAGTGGTGTTAAGATATAGCACATAGCACATGCTCGCCTCCGGGACTTCTCTAGAGTCTCTCCGATTCTTTGGAACTCCTTACCCCAACCTGTCTGTCTATCTCCCACTCTGACTGCCTTTCGGTGATCACTAAAGACTCATCTCTTTAGGTACTCTTTCTCAAACAATTCATCCCCACACAGCTACCTCCTCTTGTATCACTTGCCCCTCTCTCTTAGATTGTAAGCCCTCACGGGCAGGGCCCTCCTTACCATCTTGTCTTGACTTGTATTGTAATGTCTTCCTTATATTGCAAAGTACTGCACAAACTGTTGGCGCTATATAAATCCTGTATAATAATAATAGCACATATGGCACATGCCCAGGGCACCATTTGAAGGGGGGTGGCGCTCCGTGGGTAAGTGAAGGTTTGTGGACCCACAGATATAGCTGATTTTTTGTCTCTCCCCACGCCTCTACCATACACATCTCCCCACCCAGCTTGTAGCCAGGTGACTCTGGCTAGTGTCCCGCCTAGCTCCTGGCAACCAGTGACATCAATGGTTGCCAGGAGCTGGGCAGGACACTGCCCAGAGAGTCCATACACATCTCCCTGCCCGGCTCTTTACAAGCAGAGCAGTGCAGGAGGCTGTGTATATAGGCGGGACACCAGGTTCTCTCCTTCTCCACTGCATCGCTGGTATGTTCCTTGGCATCCTTACATACTATACACCGTATTGAATGTGATGACTCGAAGATTCCTAGACCGCTGCAGCAAAGGGGGAAAAGGGCTCCAGGGATTGGTCTAAGAGCAGGCCAGTTTGGAGAATCAGTTAACCCTTGCAGAGGTTAGCCCCACAGCAAGGGCTAATGCATTTTCTGCCTGGAGTTCTTCTTTAAAGTCAAAGTATCAGCATGAGAGCCAAGGAGCTAACATTTACAAATGAGAGACCACCAATGGCAGCCCCCATATTTTACTCATGACAGAGTCACTCTTAGTACTAGTGGATATATGCTTCTCTGAACCAGAGAAATATTCACAACTTGGTCATGGGCCTTTTGTTTGCAGGATGGCATGAGGAAGCTTTCCTGTGCCCTGCTTCTAGATTTCATGGGCAGCTTTGCCTTCCAGCAAATCTGCTTGGCACGCTGTGGTGAGCTCATAGTAGTGCAGTAAGGTGCTGGTGGGAGAGTAGTGCCCAGAAAGGGGGGTCCTGGTCTATTATTTGCATTGGGGCCCTTACTCAGTATATCAAGGGTAGGCAACCTTGGCACTCCAGCTGTGGTGAAACTACAAATCCCATTATGCTTCTGCCTCTGGGAGTCATGCCTGTGGCTGTCATAGTTTTGCAATGCCTTGTGGGACTTGTAGTTCCATAATAGCTTGGGTGCCGGTGTTGCTTACCACTGACCTATGATCCGAAAACGGCTGAGATATGGTGGTATAGGAAATGGCCCAGGCCCTGAGAGTAGGGGTTTGGTCACAGCTGTGATGACTGAGATCTTAGTTCCAATGCCGAACTGACCACCGGAGTTAAAGTAAAACTTTTAAGCGAGTTTTGTACAAACAGATAAATAAATGCAGAACTACAGATTAATAATTGTCTGAAGCAGGGTAAGACAGGCATAACGATTTTTACATTTTGGAACTGATAACTTACACATTTTGATAATTAAGTTTGTCCTGACGCAGGATTTCAGGAGAATAAAAATGAAGAATAATCGAATAATTAAATTATCCATTAAACAGTTGATTAAGACTGAAAATTTAATTTGCTCTGATTAAAATGTTCTCTGCTTGGTAAAAAAAAAACAAAAAACGAATTGGGCTAAATGGTTCTTGTGTGCTGAAAAAATGAACAACAGGAATTAAAGAGCCGTTCCAGCAGACAAGAAGGATCAAGCGGTGACGTTGGAATGCTCTCCAGGAAATAGCACAGCTGCGCTTCAAGGGGGTGCACCGGAATATTTTAGTATGTCTTTATTCATTTATCTATTATATTATTTGGTTAAAAAAAAACACTTTTGGTAAAAAAGTTAACTCTTTCCCACTCTATCCCAAATTCAAAGACCTTTTTGACTGAAGTTAAGCTTTCAAAGAGAACTGACGGCAAACCTTGTTTTTGGCTTTAGTTCTTTTTTGGTTCACAGGAGTGTATTTACTAATGTACTCATATGACCCAAACTCAGCAAATAGCCGGCTATTGCCTGCTATTTGATGACAGTGCAGAGGCGCACTGCAGTGGGGAGCCGACGTGTGAGTACATTTTACCCTCCCAATAGTTCTTTTTTAGGGCTTGTTCACACGACGTCCGGATTGTGTCCGGACCAGAACCGTGCGCTCCTGTACCCAAAATGCATCCCAATGTATCCCTATGTGTTTTATGGGCTACAGTTCTCACGAGCGCAGTCCGTTCCGGACAGAGAAAATACTGCATGTCACATTTTGTCCGGTGCGAAAACGCACTGCACTGCAGCTAACATACTGACAGCCCCACTCCCAACAAAAAAAACTGGAATGCGTCAAAAACGCATCACAAACGCGTCAAAAATGCACTGTACACATAGCACCGTGTCTGCAGATCTGCTCCAGATGTGGACCAGAAAATCGTCTGCATTTGGGCTTGTTCATACCAAATGCAGACCAGATCTGCATGAGTTTCTGCACACGGAGTGCAGTGGGTTGTGCCGCGTGTTTGCCGCATTTTTGATGCGTTCTGGGCCGTTTTTGGTGTAAAAAAAATTCCCTTTAAAGTTTAAAATGGGCTTTCAGTGCGTTCCAGGGCGTTTGCATGCGTTTTTGATGGTTTGCATGCGTTACAGAGCAGGTAAAATAGGGCTTGCTGCAGTTTTTTTACATGCTCTGGAACTGAACGCTCCGGTGTGAACTAGAGCCCAAAATACCATTGGAATACATTGGACGCAGTTTTGATCCGGTCTGTAACTGCTCTGCTCTGCTCCTGGAACGCACTTGGTGTGAACAAGGCCTCAAAGTGTATTTTTGTAGCTGAAGCTGATTTTTTATTTTACTGGGTTGTTTTTATTCGGTCTAAATAAAAAAAATGTTGTTGCAAAAGCTCGGCAGTATTATACGGTTTGTCCCAAGCTGAGTGATTGCAAACCACTGATCGCTCAGTTCAGGATCTTCTCTCTGCCAATAGCAGTGACTGTCAGTCAGGGATTCCCCCCTTCCCTCTCTGTTCCTCCAGCGGTCATTGGAGGGACGGATATGGGAGGGGATGGGTACTGCTGACTCTGGGTCTAGAGAGGTGGAGCCAGCTGTCAATCAAGCAGTGGGGGGGATCCCGTCAATATTGTCAAGCTCTTACCCGTCTGCAGCGTGGGTCTGCGCTGTCAGCAAATAGTGCATAGTAGCCTGCTAGATGCTGACTTTGGGTCACAGGAGGAGATTAGTAAATCTACTCCAAAAAAGAACTAAAGCCAAAAACAAAAAGTTGTATTCTCCTTACCAGGTAATAGGAAAGCAAATAAGAGCACTTTAGGTTTAAGGCTTACATACACTTTAACCACTTACCGGTATTAGCAAACAATGAGAGGAATTTATCAAAACTGGAACAGACAAAATCTGGAGCAGATTTGCACTGCAACCAATCAGCTTCTATCTGTTTTATTTTCAAATCTCAACTGAGCAAACTGAAGAGAGATGCTGATTGGTTACCATGGGCGACTGCTCCAGTCTCTGTCTGCTCCAGTTTTGATAAATTCCCCCCAATATGAACATCGTCCTTACATGGTGATTGCAAAGTATACTACATGAGCCTGGTAGTGGAGACTGCCTTTATGTGTCAATTCTTGTGGCTAATTGCAGAAGTACATGACGTTCTCACTCTTAGAACAGGAACTGAAGCTCTGAAGTTAACATGAAGCGGCATTTTTCATTTTTCTGTTTCGTAGTTATTTTACCAGCTGGAAGGGGACATGTGTCTGAAGATCATTGAGAATGGAGAACACAAAGATATCCACATCAAAGAAGGAGAGGTACAGCAGATAACCCAACAATTTGGCCTATTTTAGACATATGATATATTTAAAGGCGAACCCTGCTCCCCCCCAAAAAAACAATTGTTTTGCACAAAGCACAAAGCTTGACTTCACAATCATCAGAGAACATTGAAAACTGGGTAAAATATACCATTCTACACATTTATATTATATACTCCATATACTGTGCATAGATCTACATGCATGATAATGGACAATAAAACCCACATTTTATCTGTATTATTGCAACACACTGGACTAACATTTCACTTATATAAGATTCCCATCATCCCTTGCACAACTGATGGAATTTAAATCAGGCTACTAGTGAAAGTAGCTGTGCTGAAATGAAAAAGCAGTGGTGACTGACACTGAATCACATCATCAGCCTCTCTTATCTCCCACTGAGATGGCTTCATATTTCATACCGTGGCAGCAGGTAGGAAACATTTTCAGACAGTTTCATTCAGGCAGAGTTCAGGAAGCAGGAAGCAGAAGTGGAAAGTGAGTCTACTGTGCAGGGCTGTCCCTATAATCAGTCGGCATCTCATTGGAAGGCGGCGGGGGGCGTCAGGGAGCGGCCACAGCTTCCCCGGTTGCTAAGAGCTCTCTGGCTTCCCCCCAGCTCACTGACATCATCGGTTGTCAGGGAGCTGAGCGGGACGCTCTAGCTGGCGTCCTGCCGAGCTCATGCCAACCAGTGATGTCAGTGAGCTGGGTGGGACCAAACAGAGAGCCACTGAAACACAACATCCGCCTGTCCTACAGCATCTGCCCTCCCCCCCAAGATGACTGATACCCACCTACCCACCCACCATTGACACCCCACCACCTTTTCCCGCTCTACAGCCTCAGGCAGCATATAGGGTAGGGACGGCCCTGCCAAGGTGTCTGCATAAGGCAGCCATATTGCATCAAGTGCACTGAAAGACCATTATACTGTAGCTGCCTTTTTATTTTGCTGAAGTTCTGGGTGACATTCACTGTCCTTTAAAACTCATGTCAAGCAAGAAAAACAATCAAAATAAAAACCCTCTACCTCTGCTAACAGCAATAAGGATTTAATAGATCTCTAATTTTCCTTAATTATAACAAATTTCCCCTGGTATGGCGAATGCTCTTTTGGCGTTCTTCCCTTATGGCTTTGAAAATAATTGCAGAGTAATGTGTCCCTCAGCGATGAAACTTCCCGGAGAAATGAATCTGGAATGAGGGCAAGGAGACACTGAGAATTTTCTAGTTATTTTCTACACTTCCAGTAAAATATAACGTATGGAGTTTTAAGCCGAACTCCAGGCAAACAGCTTAATACACAGATAAAATACATATATGAGAGCTGTTTTACCTGCCAAATTATTCTTATTTCTGTCCATCCAGTTCTGAGACTTAGAACCCGTTCACATCGGGGCAGTTCGGCCGCGTGGATTCGGCCGCACGGATCCGCCATCATGAGCGATCCCCGCCCGAGCTGCTCCCTGGACTATTTTTACCGCGCTGGGCAATGCGGTTTCCATGCAGCTTTCAATGGAACTGCGCTGATCAGCGCGGTTTTGGGCGTTTTGAATTGCATTTCAGTGCTGAAGCGCAATTAAAAACTCCCAAAACATCGCTTGCGATATCAGCGCGGTAACCGCGCTGATCTGCGGCCGCCCTGGTGTGAATGGGCTCTTACATAACTCTACAACACAGAAAAGCCCTATCTGGCAGGACAGGAGACATGATTTTTGTCTTCTGCAGTTAGGTAACACTTACAGTAGTTTGTAGTTCTTCTTTAAATGTGTAGGGAGAAGTTTCAGATTCTGTAACACAGGGGAAGATAGGACTGGTCTCTCCCCCAGGCCCATGGTTGGACAATGGAAGGAGAACTGATGTGAATGTGCAACTATGTAAAGCGCTGGGTAAATTGTCAGCACTGTATAAATACCTGTAATAATAAATAAATAAGCAGTAGAATAATGACTCTCTGTCACACTGCTCTCTCTTCCTACCAGCATGCTCCTAGTTAGCAGGTCAGCGCTGCAGCACAACTAACTGTCTCCTTGTGCTGTTTCTTCCTCTTCCACCCTGAGATCTACTGTAGATTGCAAGAGGTTAATATCAAGTACTTTACTTATTGTGTAATCCACTCACACCTGAACCTTAAAGTGACACTAAACTCAGGAGTTAAATCTTAAAAATGCATTCAAGTACCTTAACTATTAACAAAAATGTATCTTATTTGTGTATCACTCGGCTGTAGATCATCAAATCATCTCTGAATTGGTGTTGACAATGTCCTTCCTTCTGGAGGGTGGCTACTTTTGTTCGCTATGTTCCCTGTGTGTGTTGTAAAGTAGTCACTGCTCCAAGCTCACTCCTGTGATGGACTACAATCTCAATACAGATAAGTAAACTAAATGTGAGATTTTAGTCCATCATGGGAGCGAGCTTGGAGTGGTGACTACTTTACAACACACACAGGGACCATGGGGAACACCATGTCACTTTAATGGCTAATTGGAACCCGTCAGCATAGGAATGTGGAAGCGCCTATAGCAGCCTTTTTTTGCAGGCTGCAAGCTCCAGGGCTGCCATTCTCATGGAATTGCAGGCGGTACTACATGTTTTACAATAAAGACACAGACACCAATTAATTTTTGAGAAAAATTAATATATATATATATATTTATTTTTATTTTTTATTAATAGCTAATTTATTCACCAAACATTATCTACCTCACCAACTATATTTTTGCCCGCCGCAATCCCATGAGAGTGATCTCCCAAATGCATTGGGGCCCACTTTCACATTCTTCTTTGCTACTTGTAGAGTCACAGACCTAGAGCAAGGATGTGCATATCAGATATCCTAATGCTGCGTTGGATAATTGTTGTGGCTTGAAGATTCATCAAAGTGTATCTCTAGTCAAAACTTTGCATGCATATGTAATGATCACATATGGCTGTATATAAATGTAATTATAAGCTATATGTAGCAATAGCACACATTGGTTACATTATTTACAGGCCAGCTGTGGGCTAAATTTTTATTGTTTAAAAAGGTCTACCAGCCTGTGTACATAAAATGCCACTCAGTCTTCAATACCTTCAACCCAGAGCTGTGCCCCGCAATATCTCTTGTTGGCTACAAGATGCCCTCATTCTTCAATGGTTGACTGTTGCCCAGGGTCAATCACAGTGGCGGAGCTAAGGAACAAAGGGCCCTGGTGCAAGATTTTTTTTTGGGCCCCCCCCCCCAATAAAAACCCCACAAACACAGCGTTTTCCTTCCGCATCGGCCCGCCGCGCGCTGGATAACGATCCGGCGGCCGGCAACTTGCTGGGCCCCTCCAGAGCCTGAGGCCCCAGGCGCCCGCACCGCCTGCACCGGCGGTAGTTCCGCCACTGGTCAATCATCCCAGAACACTGAGCACATACTCTGAGTGTAGGGCATAATGGTGCCATTCAACATGGCACTCTTCATTTATAATGTACTGTTGCAGAGAGGGAACCGATGACGTCAGTGACACTGTCTGCATCAGTAAGAACCAGCCAGCCTCTAGCAAGAGGCGAAGATGAACAGAACCCTGCAGTGTCACATGACCACCATGAAGATTTAGGAAAAATGAGTATAAAAAGAGAAAATACTGCCAATGGAGGCCACAAGGATTTTTGGGAGGGGAGTATGGAGCCCAGAGCTGGCCTTTAAGCTAATTACGATAATGTGGAAATAAAGCAAAAAGAGCAGATCGCATTCAAAGATAAACTAAATTCCAGGAAGCACACAAGCTGCATCTCTGCGGGGATAATTGTAATGGTAACACAACTCCAAGATGACTAGAGACAAAGCCGATATTGAAATGTCTTCATGACATGACCTTCCCAAGGACATCTGTGAGCCATTCCGCCTTTGTGCCTTATTTATGTATTGGTGAGTGTGATTACAGAAGAAAGTAATTGTCATGTGTGAGGCTTAACTACGGCTTATAGCAGGAAGATAATGTTCTATTTGCATGAATTGTCTCCAGTCCATTCCACAATAACATGTTCTGTCTGCACAGATGTTTCTGCTGCCGGCTCGAATTCCGCACTCTCCACAAAGGTTCTCGAACACCGTGGGCCTTGTGTTCGAGAGGAGGAGGTTAGAAACTGAAACGGATGGCCTACGGTAAACCATAAAATGATTAGTAGTAATATGTGCTACAGTAAATAAAATATTATATATAAAACCAAAATAGAGAGATCATCTCCATTCAGTACCAGCTCAAGCCACTATTACTATTGCTTAAAGCCGGAGGCTGAAGAAAGCCCTCGTATTGTGCTTCAGAGCTGAAACACACTGTGCATCCTGTTCTCATGTTTTAAACCTTTACCTAAATATATCCTCAATATCCACAATGTAGCCACTTACTATCTACATGCATGCACCTAGTGTTGCCACCTTTTCTTCAAGCGAAACCCGAACACTCTAGCGACGTGGGGACATCTTTTTGGGGAAAATGAATCGTGGCTTATTCATATATAAATAGCACCACCCATTCCTATGTAAATATCACAGTTGAGACAATTTTCAGTGGGGGGCCAGTAGCTCCTATCTTAATTTTGGTTGCCCCTGTCTGCCTGACATCTTGTGTCCGGGATTCTGCTGCCATGAAACCTGGACACAGCATTCAAAACCCGTACTGTCCGGGTGAATCCTGGACAGGTGGCAACCCTACATGCACCCCAGCTATGGAATATATCAGACAGGGTTCTTCATAGTGACAACAGTTGACCTTGCAGGCTGCATACAAGTGATCTCAGCAGGATCGCCGAGATCACTTGCACAAAAACAAGCGGCAGCTTCCCTACTGTACATTAGCCCTGCTTGCCCAAAGCAGGGCCAAATGTAGAAAATAAACTACCCGCATGTCCTGGGTGTCGGGAGTCGGGAGATAGGAATTCCACACCTCTGCTGTCCCTATACTCCCTGCTGCCTCGAGGCCGGGCTTAGGTGACCCTGTGAGAAATCTGGCCCTGACCATGCCTGTCTAATGTGTGTTGAAACGGACACTTGTAGTCTTCATTAAAAGACGGCTACCCCCGCACTGCAAGGGTTAAGTGTTAATTTTTGTCCATGTGCTAAAAAAATAAGTTATACTCACTCTAACCACTGCTACTTCGGTCCCTGAAGCGTGTCTCCTGCGCAGCAGCGATGGCATGTCCCTCAACGTCCTTATGTCCTATGCACAGTGTACAGAATGTGATGACTCAAGGATCCTTAGACTACTGCAGCGGACGGCGAGAGAGGATGCAGGGACCAGTCTAAGAGCAAGCCGATGCTGAGGATTAGGTGAGTATAACTTTTTTTTAACACCTAGACAAAAACAAGCACTTAGAGTGCAGGAAAGGGGGGGTGGACCCACAGCAAGAGTTCTGCTGTAAGGAAGGGTAAGAACACATGCGCATATATGGGAAATGAGATGGGGGCAGGATGTTATCACCCTAACAGGAAGGTGCCTGAACAAGGACCTTCCTTGCAGGATCACCATGTATTATTTTAATGAAAGTGCAGATTTAAAAATAAGGATTTTTAAAATGACATGAGTTTTTAGTGGCTCAGTTATATACTTGTTATATTCACTATCACTATGTATCTAACAAGAGTGAGATACTATATTATATGACAATCAACAGATTTATTTTTTCCATTTCAAAAGGTATTATGTTGACAACTCCACAGAGGTTTTGTTTGAGAAGTGGTTTTACTGTGAAGACCTGGGAAAGCAGCTTGCTCCAATTATTACTGAGTAAGTCCGCCACCTACTGTTCGAATCAGGTATTGCAAAGGCATTTTGGAATGGTAAATATAGGAGTATTATAAAGAAGAACCCCAGGAAAACTTTTTCATAAACCTTGCAGTGGGGCTATTCCCGTTTAGGTGCTCGTTATTTGCCTAGGTTGAAAAATAGCAAAGTTACACTACCCGATCCTTCGAGCTGGCCGGCTGTCACAGAGCTCCCATTAGCCTGTCACCTCCACCGCTGCAGCATTGAAATGTTCCTCAGAATTCTCACATTTATACACTGTATATAGAATGTGAGGATTTACGGGACCTTAGACCGCTGCAGAGGAGGGGGAGAGAGGCTGGAAGGACCGGTCTAAGAGCAAGTCGGCTCAGAGCATTGGGTGAGTATAACTTTTATTTTAACCTAGACAAAAACAAACAGTTAACTCTTGCAGGATTAAGAAAATATTTTCCTGGAATACTTCTGTAAATGATGATGAAAAAAAAATTTCTATTTAAGCCCTTCCTAACTTTTTCAGTAAAGTACCCACACATTTACAGAGACATCACAATGACAGTAATGGGATTGCTGGACAGGAAATCAGCAATGTTTTTGCCATCTCCTTTTTAAAGCTGAACTTCAGCCTTCCCCTCAGTCTTGCAGAGTTGTACCGACTCCTCGTCTGTGCTGAGAATGCGTACTCTGATTTCACTGCATACTGTGAGCTTCTCAGAATGTGCATTAGAAGCTGCTGCAAGATAGATAGAGCCTCCCTTATTTCCTAGCTAGAGGACATCTAGCATCATCTAGGTCTTTCCTCTCCAGCCTTGCTGTCCCTGGTCCGCACCTTTAAATTATTGGATTTCAGTCATGGAGTCTCAACTTCACAGGCGGGCATTACCTATTGTGGTCTGCATTCAGATACAGTCTATCTAGGAATGCCTTCTCCTCCAGACTGACACCCATCCATCAAGACATTCTGATAATGACATAACTCCTCCCAAGAGCCAACCCACTGCTTGCGTCAGGGCTGAGGGCTCTTGAGAGGAGTATTGAGGCAAGGCTCTGTGATGCTTTCAAAAAGCTTTGTGCAACATTGTTAACAAACTGTTCACGGTTAGCTCCGTAACAAAGACCAGTGGGCACCAACAAAAAGTGGTGGAAAAAAATGTCAACACACAGGGCGCAAGGGGTTCTTCACAGTTAGAGCTGTTAAGCTCTGGAACTCGCTGCCACAGGAAGTGATTTCAGCTAAGAGTGTGGAAGCATTCAAGAAACTCTTGGACGAGTTCCTCGGAGAGCATAACATACAGGGGTACAGGTATGCCTAAGAGCAAGATCACACATGGACTCATACACACGCACACACCTGCTCAAACATAAATGTATACACGCAATAGGTTGGACTTGATGGACTTACATCTTTATTCAACCTCAAATACTATTTAACTATGTAACACCCTGCCAGCCCCTACCACCAGCCATCATCCGTCTGCATTCCTCATTAAAAGTATATAAACCCTAACATTACATTTTGGTCCCTTTTGGTCTATTAAATATACCAATATAAATATGATATTTTTTTGATAATTGAAAAAAAGAAATAATAAGAAATACCTGCTAATCCTGACAGAAATATAATGAGCTTGTAACTTTCTGTGCACTCTGCCTCTGCTGCACTGTTACAGTGGTGCGTCGGTTCACGAACGCTTCTGTTCGCGTACAATTCGGTTCGGCAAAATTTTGCTTCCGTTCACGAACTCTGCATCGGGTGACAAACACAACTGCAGCCATCTTCCCTGCTCTGACACATGGTCATGGCTTCCTCTAGTCGAGATTGCGGTCTGATCACAGTTTGATTCGGTTCGTGACCAATTCGGTTCGTGACCAGAATCGTGGAACGTATTAAGTTCATGAACCGAGGTACCACTGTATCAGTTAGCATTGTTCCCAGCTATCTCTTTGGACTGCAGACCTCCTTCCCGCTATGTTATCAAAAAGAGAATGGGGGAAAACATGGCTACTCCATAGATACAGTACAGTGATTGTTGTCACCCTAGGACAAGAAGGGTGTTACTAGCAGGATCAACAGGTTAAAATAAAGAAATAAAAAGCCTGAAAAAATTAATTTGTCCAATTTTTGTTTTCAAACTTTTCACCAAGATAACCTTAAATGGAAGCTATCAGTCTGCACCACTCCTCCTTCCTCTATACACATAAACATGCATGTTAAGGCAATATTAGCATTAAGGATGAGCTCGGGTTCAGTCTGTACTTGATTTCATCTGAAACTGGTGGGAACTGTCAGTGACGGTCCATTTCAGTGGTGTCCAGTGCATTCTTCACCCAGCAGCTGCATGTAAACAAAGGGGCGGGATGCTGGTGACATCAAGTGACCATAAATGTGACCTTATATGTGACCATATATGGTCAATTATGTTACCAGCATCCCACCCCTATGTTTAAATGCAGCTGCTGTGTGAGGGTGAGGAATATCCCAGCCTGCAGCTGATTGGGCCAACACTGACAGCTCCTTCCTGGTTCAGGCTCAAGTTCAGACCCAAGCTCATCCCTATTTAGCATGCATGTTTAATGTAAAACCCTGTAGAATTGAGATTTGAACATTTTCTAGGCTTGTACCATAACAAATTAATAAACTTATACATATTTATTTTCAGATTTTTCAACTCAAAACAATATAAAACTGGAAGGCCAGACCCAGGTAACAGTACAAGGAAGTATTATATGGTCAGATTTTGCTGTTTTGTTAGGCTGGTCATAGGCTGCAGGATCATTCAACCCAAAGAAGAGTCAGTAAACGTACAATGCAATGCATGTATATCAGTGCAATAAATGTAAAATGGATCAGCTAGATGTCAATCATATTTCCAGTGTATGGTAATGTTTAAAAACCTTAAGGGCCCATTCATACAATTGCAGTGCTTCAGTGCACATTATGCTGTGTATTAACCTGTTTTGTGTTAAGTGTTGTGTCGTTCATTTGAATAGGCTGCTTAATGCACCAGAAAGCACCAGAATCGAAAAACGTGCATTTATATTTTTTGGCAGCGCACTGCAATACACGATAAGTTGCAACACATGTCCATCGGCTAGGTGCGTTGTGTGCCATTCAGGGTGAATTACACTGCATCGCACCAATGCATGTAACATGCGTAGTAACAACACATTAGTGTTACTGAGCCCTATACTGTGTGTATCATTTATACACTCAGCCTATTTCATGCCTTTATGAAGTTGCCATCAGGCATCGGTGGCAAAGAAATATTCACTAGTAATGAAGTGTTTATAGTCCAATCACCATCACAAAGCATGCTCTTTGCATTCCTCCTTGATGGGCACTCCAACTTAGATATCAAAAGAAGGTCATAGCTGAACAGAGTTACAAACCC